AACGAAGCTGTAGGCATGAACTACTTGCAAAATAATGAATATTTTGTTGTGGATACATCTTCCAAAAACATAATTTGAGCGAATTATAACGATTTAAAAAAGACACGACTCGCGTGTCATACGCCACACAAAAATAAGTGATGGCATGGCTGGCGTGCCATCCTCACTGAACCAGTTAGCAAATAAATGTTACATTCCTTATTTTTAGACAAGTAGAGCCTAAACTTTAGTGTAATAAATCAAAAGAATATTTTCTTTTAAGTAAAATTGCTGTGTAATAGCGCCATCTACTTCATTACATATGTTTTTGTTCGATAAAAGTCATTTTATCGAACAAAAATTGATCAATTTTCAAGGTGGAACGTAAAAAAAGACGGTAGATGGCTTGAACACAACTAACTTAATATCTATCTCATTCTCTCGGAGGCAAGTCCTACAGATGTATGTTTGTCGCTTTTTCGTTTCCTCAAGTTTCAAATCACGATTCTAAAAAAGTATTTATGCTATTAACGTTAATAATATCCCCTTTAATCACTCAAGGTAAAGCTTAAAATGCTTTGGTTAGAAGTGGTTCCTAACAGTAGTCGAATAGCGGATGCAAACGCACGACCTTTTGAGTTCGCGGTCCGCATCTTGCCATTAGGCTACTGTCGCTTATTTATTTAGTTATTGGTACTTATATTGTAATGGTAGGTATATTTTAGCTTAATAATCTACTGTGTTTATTGTCAGATACTAATTTCAAACTAAGAACGTCACCTCTGAAAATTAAGATGGAATGTTACACAACATGTAATTATAAAGCCTCTCTATAACTACTCTTGCCCAGAGGTACTAGTATTATCTATATTACTTAACCTCTGGGAAATAATAGAATCAACCCCCCCTATCAAAGATGTCAAAAATTAATTTAGGACTGAGGTGAAGTTTTTTGTTACACAATATCATTTAATTGTGAAGTTGCGTTTTAGATAAGTTTGTCTGTTTTTAGTGCATTATATAAATAGATAAAATAAGTGAGCACACAATCCAACTGATAGTAGATGCTGAGGTTCATTGATATTTACATCTATCCTCGATTCAGAATCGAAATACAGTTGTCACCGCTTAGAACTAGGGTGTGCCTCGTTACCAGTAAAAACAGTATCCGGTTCCCTACACTCACCATACGAAACACAATAGCATGAAGCTGCTATTTCACACTGGTATTTTGTAATAGCGTGGTCCTTACCCTGTCGTGGATGCTATGGTCCAAATACATCTACATTTATCCTCGGTTAAAAATCAAAATGCAGATGCGTTGTCACCCCTGAAGACCCCTGAAGATAGAATGCTTCGTTTTCAGTAAAAATGTTCTCTACTTTTACCATACCAAACAAAGCAGCATTAAGCTGCTATTTTACGCCGGCATTCTGTGAGATCGTGTTCCTTCACCGTTAGAGCAGACTCATTCGTGCTACAACCATAATATATCTGCAGAGCGGCTCTACCACGTAAGTAACCAAAATGAAACTCGCACCTCAATACAACATATTTATTTTATTCACAGTTATTATCCCGGTTCGAATAACACGATACTCATTATTTACAAATGTTATCTGAATAAGAAAATATAACGTACTTAACTGTACTTAAATCAATTTAATGTCTAGTCCGATAAAACTTAATCTAACTTAGACACAAATGTTGAAATTTCGTTAAGCCGGTTTTAGAGTCGCGCTGATCGTCAGCGCTGACAGCTCAGCGCGTAGCTGTCAGTGGGAACTCATTTTAGTGTAATGCTGAGCACTGCGAAGTAGAGACATGGGCAATCCCATTCAAATTCAATCCCAAGGGAAGTTGCTGCCGTGTATTTGTTTTGGAAAAAGAAAAGACTTCAATAACAACGAACCTTTTTTTTTACCCAAATCTTTTATTTCATTTTCCTGCACATCCTCAAACAGTGCGACTACTATGTCGCTCCAGGCCTTCAATCGTGCGTGTTTGTTTTTATACAATTGGTCACTGGCCTCCCATAAATATTTTCGCAGTTGAACTTCTTCAATCACACGTCCAGTATCAATATCTCTACTTATTTTACAATCTTTATTCATCGGCGCGTGCGTTTTTCGTGACACAATAACGATAACCGAGCTCGGTAGCGCGTACGGTCGTCTATGGCTCGCCGCTGACGGTCGTCAGCGCTGAGCGGTCGGCGTTATTCTAAAACGCTCCTTAGGCAATCATACATATTGCCCTGTCAGCGCTGACGAAAAGCGCGACTCTAAAACCGTCCTAATTGTAATTAATTCCTAAAGTTAAACACAATTTTTAAGTCAATAAACGTTTACAACAAACTAGTTTTTACTCTTGTATTATAGAGGTGTTTAACATAAATAAATTATACGTTGTTGAATAGTCCTCGCTAAAACTAGGTACCGTTGTCATTAGGTTAAGTCGCCGCTGGAGTGGCCCCTTGAACGTTTTTAATATAATATATTAGTCGAAGATATTACGAATATCAAACATCGAATGATTACTTAGATATAGTCCTAGGATTTTCGCGATTCCATTTGTAACATGTATAGATATATGTTTTCTGTGATCTGTAAACTTCAGTTTTAAAAGCAGATTTTAGGAATTTCAAAATTACATTACAATTTTCTGGTCTATAATCTATTTTACAAATTCTATAGCTTTTTTTAAACATTTGACGCACGTTTAGTTAAATGTCTACTACTACTAATTAATATTTGACATTTATTTTTGCAATAGATAGGATACGCTGTTAAAATATGCAAATCTTAAAAATTATATTAACAGAACACGGGAATACATTTTCGCTATGCATCCCATTCTCATTGCATATAACGAAAAAAATTTGACCGAAACTGTTCCGTTATTTTCAAAGGTTTTTTTTTTTAATAATAGGAAAACAGTTTATATTCGACACATATACGGCGTGTTACTTTTGGTCGGTCGAAGAATTCGGTCGGTTGGGGAGGGGATAATATTGGATTAATTCATAATCATACAACACGCACTTAATGACGCGCTAAATTTATAAAAATGAAACTGTGCCATTTATATTAAGAGCACAATTCCAATTCCATTTAAAATTTTCACAATTTACAGAAATGTATGGGACACAAGATTCACACTCACATACAAAAAGTCTCACGTTTATAGCCACACCCATGCAAACAAATACGCGCCCGAATGCACATAATGTCTCATCATAAGTTCCCCTCTATATTTTTGAACACTAAAGCATTTTTTCCGCTTTCCCACCCGAATCTATTCTTTACCAATTACACAGCATTTCGAATTTTCAAACACTCTGTACATATCCTTTTCGTTTAGGTTAGAAAAAATCGCGTACACGTATAAAACGACAGACAAAAATTGTTTCAATATTATAAATACATGAAATACAAATACATCAAAATGGAGTCCGCCATATGTTACATAGAATTCTGTTCAATATATTTACAATGTCCGATAAGTCGATGAAGGAGTCTTAATAAAGACGAGTAACAAAACTTTACTTACTTGCTTAAGTTGACAACATGGCGGTGCCATTTAATGGCGAAAGGTGCTACAGAATTTCCTTTAAGTGGCGGCGTAAGAAAATCAACTATCCCATATCAATCCGTGGGTGTCGTAAGAGGCAACAGAGGTAAACTGAAACAGGACATTGGCAGCAGCATCTTCCTGATAACTCGGTAAAAAAAAGAACTGAAATTATCAATACGCGTGGCAAGCATACCAACTATTACATTACCATATTATCCCCGTTTCCGGTGATTAAAGTACTTAAAAGTTGTCAAATCTTTGTGCATATTGGTCAAATTTTGTCACTCGACACCACGAATTTTAAATTACCATTTATAATCATAAATTACATGAAACATTCCAATTATTGAGTTGATTATGTATAATATAAATAATTTTGCGGGTAGTTAGACTTTCCCGCCATTAGTATACCCCATTTATGCATTCCGAAGACTAAAATAATAGTAATTATGTCCAGTAATAATTGAAATAAATCGAAAAGCTGTATTAGATATTGTACATAGACAGTTTTTTTTTTTAAATACTGACGAGAATAATAGATAAGCATAATATATAAAACAAAATGGCGTCTGTAATGGGACTAACAAAAATAACTGTTTTTAATAAAATAGTAGCTATATGTGCATTAAGTAATCATATAATTAATTATATTTAGTGCAACCAATCTAGTATTTAATACCTTCAATTTACGCAATAAACAAGAATTTTTTCCAATTTTTACCCAAATAACCGGAACTAAATGGATCGCACTACGCTAATAAATAGTTCACAATAGTTTTGGCGGGAATATGACCGCCGGCGGATTGCTGTTTCTGCATTATTGTTTAAATTATAATTTGAAGTGTAAAGTAGTGCGATTTTTTGTCTTAAATGTCAGCGCATATAAACAATAATTAGTTAAAACGATCAATAATAATTTCCATAGTGATAAACCTTCAGTGGTTTTATCCACTTAGTCATCTTGAGATACTATCGTCATCGACTGTTTGCTAGCTTAAGCTGCCATGAAAATCAAATACTTTGCAATGTGAAATTTATTTATATACTGGACAATATATTACAGCATTTAATTTATTATTTTTTGGCGAAAGGCCTTATAGCCAATGACACAATAAATAAAAATAAAAACACATCATTTTCATGTATGACATTTTGTAGTTGTCAACTTAGTCTCCGGAACTTACAAAAGAAGTATATATATCTCGATTACGAGACATCTGTACTGTATATATAGAGACAAACAACAATTTACAGAATATTAAACATTTAATTTAAAAATATGCTGTTTTCGTAAAGATTTGAACACAAACAACAAAAATCCTCCTACCCGCATTTACAAGGAGGGATATAAAAACAATGAAATGTTGTTTCCCTAAATGTCCACAGCGCTTGCAAACCTAGCGCTTTGCCAGAGATCAGTGTTTGAAAAACACATAAAGTAAACACTAATTCTTTTCGGACTTCTTACGCTTCTCCTTCTCCGTCTTGGAGGCTTTCTCCGTCTTCTTAGATTTCTTGGTGGTCTCCTCTGGTTCAGGCGATTTGAACTCTGTTTTTCTCTTCTTCTGCGGAGATTTAAAGGGGGATTTTTTCTCGGGCGTAGGCAACTCTTTCTTGGAGGATCTGAGCTGTTTCGGTGAGCGCACCTCCTTCTCCTCCTTCTCTGGAGTCGTAGATTTCGACTCCTCGGACTTTTCTGACGATTCGTCTCGCTTATTCTTTGAGGTTTTTGTTGATTTGGACTCTTTCGAATCCTCCTCACCAGGTATTCCAAGGATCTCCGCCCACTGATCTGGAGGGGGAGTGGGCTGTTTCTTCTCCTCCTCCGTGGATTGATCCGATTGTTTCTGTGGAGGGACAAACGGAGATAAGCGAAGAATGAATGTATAATTATATTAGTAATATTTAGGCATAAGGATAGCGAACCTGCATCGGACAGTAGACTTTCGAGAAGTTAAGGAATATTTTGAAGTCATATTTAAAACAATGCCATTTTACTAATAATACTTTTAACAATCCGTCAAATATGATCAAGATCAACAAAACGTCAAGATAGAGAATTACATACATTAAAAAGTTACTTAGTAAATTAGTTATTATTGTTGTTAGATTTTTATAAGACAAATGTTAATAATCATTATTAATTAACTAAAGCAACCAATTTTTGTCTATACCACCATTACAGGGACTTATATAAAAATTTTATTTGTTTTAAGTCAACAAACAACAGATGAGAAAATGAAAATTAGTCAAATATAAACCTAAATGTAAACCATTAACAACTAAATTGGCGCCTCTTTCTAACAAGAAATTGTTGCGATTTGCAAATAAAAAGGACGTAAAAGCCATTAGGGTGCATGCATATCGGGCGCGTTTAGAAAGTCGTGTTCGATGAAAGCCGTCAAATCCTTTCCTATGATCCCAAATAAAGTCATCTTTAACGTAATTGAAAATTTTGAATCTAACAAGTATTATGCCGACTAGACGCCCGTTTTGCAAGCTCCCTAAGGCCTGTCATAGTCTGCGGGTTGCGTTAAGCCGCCTCCGATGTAGGTTCGCCGCATCCCAAAAAATCGCTAACAGACCTCACCGTCGCTCCGTTTGCCCCCATCCATAGCACAATACAAAACTCACTGTAACACCACACACTTTAGGTTTAAAATCAAATGACGTCCGATCTATGATATCAGTTGTTTCTTTTTTTTTTGTAAATGAATACGCGTGGGGTAGCAACGACCCCCGCAGAATATGACAGTCGGCTTGACAATCGAGTAACACTGCGCGAATTTGCAAGGCAACGGTTATTGTTATAAAAAAATCCTGAAAACAGTAGCAATTAAGGAGTTTGAAATACTTTATAGTTAATTCATGGACAGATCTAGTCATATAGATTTATAGATCAAACAATACAAGATAAAAATCAATCAATTCATATTAGATAAAAATAAGGTAACAGTAAATTGAGAAACATGCTCTATATACATACATTAATTTCACCAAAAAAAAACCCCGCGTGATGGCGGCATAAGGAATCAATCCATCACACCATTTCATCACATGGATGTTGTAAAAGGCGACTATAGGAAATTCAAATTCATTATCAGGAAGCTGCTGCTGCCCATCTCCAAATAAAGTGATTACAAATATACATATTCAATAGTATTATCAAGTTTTATTGCTAGCAATGTCATGAGCAAGTCATTTATAACCTGTACACGTACACTAGTGCCTGTACAGTATTATATAAGATAATATAATATATATTTCAGAATCTTCCCGTGGTTGTCATAAGAGGCGACAAAGTGAAACTGAAACAGGAGACAGACAGCAGCATCTTCCTGATAACACCTCGAAATAATAAGAAACCTTCCAAATGCGAGTCGGACTTGCGCATGTAGGGTTCCGTACCATCACACAGGTTTCTAGTAGGGTAGCCCCCTTTAATTTTTAATTTATTTTTATTATTGGTTGTTACAGAGACAACAAAAATACACATTCTGTGAAAATTTTCAACTGTCTACCTATTACAGATCATGAGATACAGCCCGCTGACAGAAGGACGGATGGACGGACAGCGGATTCTTAATAATAGGGTCCCGTTAGTTACCCTTTGAGTACGGAACCCTAAAAACTGCAGTTGCTAACTAGCCTGCCAGGCGTAGCAATTATGGCATATTCCCCCTTTGAAGCAAAGTTTAGCAGTGGAGTTTTATAGGCTGAAAAGGATGGATGAATATAAGATTAGTTCTTGATTCAACGCATATTTTGACTATATTGGAAGGAAGAAATATTGGTATTTAACAAATTACGTTGTTGACATGTGTTATTAATTCATTTGTAGTGACCCGATCATTCGAGTATTGATTTGTCTAACGAAGCGGGTCACTCAGGTAGATCATTCAAATGGATCCTTTCGAGTTTCAGTGCTCTGTGATCAGTGAGACCCTTTCGATAATGTCGGTCGTCGGACTCAACTATACTCTTCAGTCGTATGTCCTGTCAATCTATTGATCAGGAACGTTAAAAATGTGATTGCAACCATCAATACTTTGAAGCGGCCCTGGTCAAGTAAAAGCATCATTCACGATTGAAACATATCTATTAAGCGAAATAATTTTAAGGATATCATCATCAATCAATAAGATGCAGTAATAGTATGTGATCCGACTACGTCATTACTAGTTTATATTTTGCTTATCGCTTGTCGCCGCAAGCATAAGTTTTGTGGTGCGAGGGTCACAGCTGTAGTCAAGCGCGAGCCGGGCGAGACAATGAGCGGCGTTTTCATTAATTTTGTCCAAACGAGCACACAGTCCACCTTGTGATAAGTGGATGCAGTGGCCCATAGACATCTACATTTATCCTCAATTAAGAATCAAAATGCAAATGCGTTGTCACCAAGTTGGAATGTCTTGTTTCCAGTAAAACGGGTCTCTCCGGTTCTTTACATTCCCCATGCGAAACTCAGCCGCATTAAACCGCCATTTTACCATGGTATTATGTGAGAGCTCCTTTCCCGGTCGAGCCACCCGTGCCACAACCATAATACAGCTGCAACGCGGCTCTACTATGTACAAACTTGCTCTACGTGTTTGTACGTGACAAACTTGTAATAACTTTAGAAACCCTGCTTTTTTATCAACTCTCGCCGAACAGAACATATTCCCATATGTTTTTTATCAAAAGACAATTTTAATAGACAATTATTAAGAGATATCGTAGTAATAGTAGAAATTGTTCAACAAATTTTATTAAAATTTGTTAAATAATCTCCTACTCTTGTTTTTAATATAAAAAAAACATGCTTGAGTGTCGTGGAACACTCGGTTGGAACGAAGTTCCTTGCGTAGTATATTATTATTGATAAACATATTATATTATTAATTAAGAAATACAAATTAATGAATTACTATCGTCTAATTAAAATGAAGAGTCATTTAAAATAATATTCCTTTTGTGGCAAGATCAGAAAAAGTGCGAGAGAGATGGATATTATTCCATCTCGCACGCACTATAGAAAGGAGGTCGTGACGGAAAAAACTTACACTTTTTCTCGCCTAGCCCCCATCCGTCAGTCGTACCAAAAATATAAAAAGAAGTGATTTCTTAAAAAAAAATTGCCCAATCTTTAGTCGTTGAACATATGCAGACGTGCAATAAAGCCAAATACAGCTAATGAACTAAAAGTGACACTGAAGCGAGATTTAGGGGTATATTTGCCTTCAGACGAACCCCCTCTCCTACTCAGGAGACTGACTCATCAAAGCGAAAAACATGTCCTTTGTCCTCCAAAACTAAAGAGAAAGTCCAACTATACTTGTATTAATTGTAAACAGGTTATATGTTTACACTTTACAGTGTTCCAAACCCTTGTGCAAGGACTGTCAATAATTTGATACATATTGGGACCATTGTCAGAATTTTCATATATTATTTTGAGAAGATTTTAATTTGTTTTTATGTTAGTTTTAGTGTTACCAACCTTATATTTAAAGAAAACAATGTAAATTTTTCTAAAAAGTTTGAATGATTCAAGTTTTCAGTCCTAAAACTGATCTCAAGTAAATTTATGCCAAATAGTGCCTTTAACAGTTAATACACTTCAATTATGTAAGAAATAAATAAAGATTGATTAAAAGCAACAGCAATTTTACCGGATACTTATTCTTATACAGAGATGGTCCTCCTTCTACTCTATAGTCCATGCTTGGCCTGAGACCGCATGCCCATGGTAGTGTGACAAAAAATGACGTCCATAGATAAAGGCGAACCATGGCTACTTTTAACTTAAAAATTATTAATTTTCGGTCCGATCTATGCAGCAGCAGAACCTTTCATGTATAAGAGCATCGTATCAGTGTCATCATTTTAACATTTCATTTAAGACTAAAGAAACACTTTTAAGTGCACATATAGCGCGCGCGCAGGAGTGCAGAAAGCTTAAATTTATATATAATATGTGCTACCAGTATATTAAATAAAATAAACCATTTATTGTATACGTAATTGTCTGTGGTCAAATTGCAAAACGGAGTAGAGGGTTTTGGCGGGAACTTGATCGGCACAACAACCACTTATTGCTGCTCTTGTATTATTGTATAAATAACGGTTTGAAGTGGATTTTCATATGTAAAAGTGGGGCTGCACAATGTGACGCATCAACATATTGTGAAGCAGTCTACTTATGAAGAATAATTATACATTGTAACTTCAGGCTCGGAAAGGCTAAAACCCAGATCCGTAAAGACAGTTATTTAAAAAAAACGGAGGAGAGATTGTTGCCATAGATTTATATACTGATGTGCAGTTAAAAGCATAGATGATATGAATACATACTGCGAGCTGAAAGTGAAACACAGCTTGCTTAATATACAAACTTAAAAATGTAATAAATTGCGGTCAGATTTCGACCCCTGGGCAACCACTAGGAAAAATTAATCTTTCTACTCACGTCACCAGTCTTTTCTTTCTTTTTCTCCTTCTTGCTGTCCTTGTCGCGCTCCTTCTCTTTTTCTTTGTCCCTTTCTTTGTCTTTCTTCTCTTTCTTACTACTGCTCCGGTCACGTTCTGAAAATTTACGTTTATTAGTCACACGACATATTCTAACAACTAGGAGTTTCCACTGCATATCGTGGGACTTTTAACGCGGGAAGTGGATTCTATGAATACTAGACTTGCAACGAATGGTATATTCGGCTACACGCCGAATAATGAATATTCTGAGGAATTCTAATATTAGTCAAAATTATTCGGCCGAGAAGTAAGTACTCTTTATTCTCGAGTCTGCAATTGTCAGCGAGAAGAAAAAGAGTAAACTACTGCCTGAAAAAGAAGAATAATTACGATAAAGTGCATAAACCTTTATTTGATAGTTATTTTTTTATAATACGGAAGTTGAATATACCTATGATTACTTTAATGATAACAAGAACTAATGATCTAAATTTTGAATTTTGTACAACAGACTTCAATATAAATTATTAAGGATAACTCAAAAACTATTGGTCAGACCTAGATCAAATTTATATGGGACTACATGAGAAGCACCCGCTTTCAAATAAAAAGGAGAATCATCGAAATTGGTTCACCCAGAAAAAGTTATGAGAAAACACAAGCAAAAAAAGCATACAGTCGAATTGAGTACCTCCTCCTGTTCGAAGTCGGTAGAAAATAAATTTCATTCTCTCGCACCCTCGACACTGGTCTGAGTATTTAACGTCTGGAGTAATATACCATATAAGGTCAGACAAACAAACTTAACAGTCCACCTGGTGGTAAGTGCCTATTGCAGTTCATGGACAACTGCAACCGACTTTAAACAAATAACACTCACAGCCTGTAATATAGTGGATGTCTATATCCTTCACACTGGAATACAGCAGTGCAAGCATTGTGTTTAGGAGCACAAATATGCGTAGACATGTGTCAATCGTGAATGATCCATTCATTTGACCCGGATCGCGTCAAAGTATTGATGACTGCAATTACATTTTTTTAATGTTAAGACTGTTGTCCATGAGCGTGGGAACTTCTAATAGAATATCTACATTGATATTTTCTAACCACACAGACGCATCTCGCAGTGTTAGTATACGCACCCTGGACATGAATAAATTACTTTTGGTGTCTTGCACAAGTTACATATTCATCACGCTGTCGTTTTCGTAGGATGTTCATGAATATCTCAAAAAACACGCATTGTATGTAGCCATTTTTTAATCTCTTCATCTATCATGTGGGAACCCACTGAATGTAAATGGCAGTGTAATTTTGTTTTGTTTAGCTATAATTAATTTTATTCAGCTATAAAATGGCGAAATTTTCGTTGATTTGGTAGCCTTGTATGTAAATTATTTCTGTAAATGGGGAGCTACAGCCACAGAGTAGTTTAGTTCGGCTTCAGTCGCCGTCGTAAGTGGACATTGTTTCGGTTGTTTGCAGCGGCTTAAAAAGATCACTGTACAAATAAACAATATTCGAATAACCAAATTTCTTAAATACTTGATAATAATAATAATAAGAGATTTTTTTTATTACAATATTTTAAAAGCACATAATAAATAATAGTAGTACGTACTAAAAGTAAGTAGTATAATTTTTTTTGTTGTCGTTTTTGGATTGTCGAAATGTAAATCCAAGATGGCGGCCGCAATAGGTATCAATTTTTTCATCATGGGTGTCATTTTCATGGTTTTCGAGGGTGCTGAAGCCGATAGTGCTGTCGAAATGTAAATACAAGGTGGCGGCTGCAATAGGTATAAATTTTTTCATCATGGGTGTCATTTTCATGGTTTTCGAGGGTATTGAAGCCGATAATGCGGTCGAAATGTAAATCCAGGATGGCGGCTGAATTAGGTACCAATTTTTTCATCATGGGTGTCATTTTCATAGTTTTCGAGGGTGTTGAAGCCGATAGTGCTGTCGAAATGTAAATCCAAGATAGCGGCTGCAATAGATATCAATTTTTTCATGTTGGGTGTCATTTTCATGGTTTTCGAGGATGTTGAAGCCGATAGTGCTGTCGAAATGTAAATCCAAGATGGCGGCTGCAATAGGTATAATTTTTTTCATCATGGGTGTCATTTTCATGGTATTCGAGGGTGTTGAAGCCGATAGTGCCTTCGAAATGTAAATCCAAGATGGCGGCTGCATTAGATACAAATTTTTTCATCTTGGGTGTCATTTTCATGGTTTTCGAGGGTGTTGAAGCCGATAGTGCTGTTGAAATGTAAATCCAAGATGGCGGCTGCAATAGATATCAATTTTTTCATCATGGGTGTCATTCTCATGGTTTTTGCGGGTGTTGAAGCCGATAGTGCTGTCGAAATGTAAATCCAAGATGGCGGCTGCAATAGGTATAATTTTTTTCATCATGGGTGTCATTTTCATGGTATTCGAGGGTGTTGAAGCCGATAGTGCTGTCGAAATGTAAATCCAAGATGGCGGCTGCAATAGGTATAATTTTTTTCATCATGGGTGTCATTTTCATGGTATTCGAGGGTGTTGAAGCCGATAGTGCCTTCGAAATGTAAATCCAAGATGGCGGCTGCATTAGATACAAATTTTTTCATCTTGGGTGTCATTTTCATGGTTTTCGAGGGTGTTGAAACCGATAGTGCTGTTGAAATGTAAATCCAAGATGGCGGCTGCAATAGATATAAATTTTTTCATCATGGGTGTCATTCTCATGGTTTTTGCGGGTGTTGAAGCCGATAGTGCTGTCGAAATGTAAATCCAAGATGGCGGCTGCAATAGGTATCAATTTTTTCATCATGGGTGTCATTTTCATGGTTTTCGAGGGTGTTGAAGCCGATAATGCTGTCGAAATGTATTTAAACTACTTTAAAAATTCTGTATAATCATGTTATACGTAATTTTTTCAATGCGCTTAAGGTATGCCCAATTGGATTTACCAATATATTTTTTACTACTAAGAAGATTGTTTTCTTTAAATAAATGGATATAACGTTATGGTATATACAATAAAGTAGTTATAATAAAAATAATTTTCGTCTAAATGTATATATTATTATAACATTAGTGATAAAAGCAAAGTTATTTTCAGTATTTTTTTCTAGATACAGTTATTCTCAGAAATTTTAAATTTAAATATAATAGAAATAATAATGAAAATATTTTAATAAAGTGCTGGTAGTTTATGAATATTCCATATCTCTTCTTGAATACCTAATGATATTTAATACGTTGATATTTATTTTATATTATAAATTATCTTACAAAAATCATTTTACGAAGTCCCTTAACGAGAAAAAATCTTAGATGACGATGTTTTGAAGTGTTCTAACCGTTTCTAAAATTATGTTGAGATCAAATACACATTGTTTATTCATTCATTACGATCTATCAAAGTCAACTACTGAACATAAGCCTATCCAACGGAAAACCTGATAAGGGGGTATTTTTCATAGTTTCCACTTTTGCCAGGCGGATTGACAACCGCATTTTTTTCCTTGGAACTAGTTGTTATTAGGAAGAAGCCGTTACCCAACTCCTGATTTCCATCTGCCTTTTACCACACCCACGAGATTAGACGAGATTTATACGTGGTAGAGCCATGCTGCAGCTATATTATGGTTGTAACACGAATGAGTCGGCTCGACCGGGGGAGGACCACGCTCTCACAGAATACCATAAAATAGCATCTCAATGCTGCTGTGTTTCGTATGGTGAGTGTAGAGAACCGGAGACCCTTTTTACTGGAAAAAAGGCATTCCATCTCCGTCCTCACGGGTGACAATGCATCTGCATTTTGATTCTTAATCGAAGATAGATGTAGATGTCTATGGGCCACAGCAACCACTTACCATCAGGTGGACTGTGTGCTCGTTTGTCACCCTTATCTTATTAAAAAAATTTTTGGTGTAGTGAATATTCTTTCACCGTCAATACACATTTTTATTGGATACTTATGTTGTAAACCACATTTTATTACTAATTAGAGATATGGGAAAAATATTTAAAAAAAAAGGTTGTTTCAAGTATAAAATGTCGTGATTAATTTCAAACTTGCAACTATTTGTAGGAGAAATGTATTATGCATCTTTCATGTGAAACTTTATTCGATAAACAATATGTAACAGAAATTATTTTTAAATAGATCCACATTAAAATAATGTAATAAACAAAATAAAATTACTATAAAATAAGCGGCGTTTCGCGCGCTCATCAAACTGAAACCTGCCACCCGCTCGTCATCGTAGGACTTTAGTATAGGAAAATCCCCAAAATTTACACGCACTTCAAATGATCGCAAAAGTGTGGTCTAGTATACACCAACTAACTTATTTTGAGCCCGTATTTTTTCATTAGTTACATATTTAAAAACATGAAAAGTTTAATAAACATAAAATTTTGTCACAATTCAATTGTCATTAAAATATTTAAAAATAAAGGTTGTTTATCAACGACCTGCACGACGTGCACTCACCTCGAAAATTGAGGCGGCACTGAATTTTTTTTACGCGTGTTCTCTAATATAAAGCGAATTACGGAAACCTAACCATTTCATACTAAAATGTATGGACGATTTCTGTTAAAAAATGAATGATATTTAGTCTCAGATTGTTGCTTTTTGGTTTGAATTAGTAAAAATAATGAACGGTGAATGTGTTGTCTATACTTTTAGCTCACGTTTTAACTAATAAGATTTTCTAAAATAATAACGAAATGGCCAAGAGATTTAAAATAGAAAAGGCCGTTTTAACTGTTTTTACCATTGTTGAAGATTTTTTTTCTCGAAAATCAAGATGTTTTTTATAAATATCACACGGTGAAAGTGTAGACCCATCTATTAACTAATTGAGATTTTTTTTGTGGTGTCATTCAATGAAGTCAGTTCTTTAATATTTTTAAAACCGTAACTGCCTATTTGCGCGTTTCTTAAGGACCGGCACCTTAAGGATAGTGGTGGGTCGTTGTCGAATTTTTGACGGACGAAACGCAACCGTTTTTCCGACGACGAAAACTGTTGCAGAAAACAGTCGTCGTTGCAACTGGTTTGAAGACGGTTGAAAGGACGAAACTTATCCAACACGGAATAGAATTGCGTTTACGTCGAGTGAAATGGTTGCAGTTTCTTACAACTAAGGTAAGGACTGTTTGTCTCTGTCTACGTTTGTAAATGAACGCGGAACCAAAGATTAAAATATAACGCGGAACGTTAAGGACGACGACACGACGAGTGAGATAGATAATTGAATCATTGCGTTCTCGACTGTATTTTCATAGGCGTAAAATAAAAATCACACCAAGTAATTCGAAGACTGGTTTGTGCAACGAAAACTGTTTGAACCCAGGACGTAAAATGGTTTCATCGTCGCAGAATACAAAACGTTCTTTGTAAACGGTTCGTCGTCGCAACGCCCACCCCTAGTTAAGGATCAACGATTGACAGGATCTACGGACCCAAAAAGTATAGTAATGTCCGCTGACCAACATTATCGAGCGGGTCTCACAGATCAAAGTACTGAATCTGAATCGGAATTAATAACAATGACAAATTGACTTCTCACCCTTCTCTTTGCCATCTTTTTCCTTCTTTCTCTCGTCCTTCACCATCTTGCAGTACTCTCTAAAGTAATCTTCTCTTAGGGTACTGCTTTCCACTGCCTTGTACCTCGGGTCGAGGTCAACCTTCTTCTTGACTTCCGCCCATCTTGAATGTCTGCCCACTGACTTCTCTTTCAGAAGTGCTATGAAGTCAGATTTTACCTAGAAGGAGATAAGAATAAGTCATAGGGAGTTCAAAACTGGCACGGTGTGGAGAGGAGTTCGTGAGTCGGACCTTGAAAAGGAATGTTATGTTTTATTCAGTTTTAATTCAAACTATAAATAATACTAGCTTTCTAAGAAATTTCGCGATATCTTCTATTTAAGAACGAAAGAAAAAGGACACAATATTTTTTTGCATAGTCGCAAATCCGTTACTCAACATTCCTTGCTCACCATCCAACCCTCTACCATCCAAAAAAAAACACGCTATGCCACTGAAAAAGAGAGTGTATCATTAGCAGCTGAAAAGAGGCAACGATAATTAGGAGCTGTGAAAAGAAAAAATAATTAGATCCTGAAATAAAGTATTGATTATTTTGTCAACGGTCGAAAGTAAAGGTTCAATGGTATATTTTAATGTAATCTTAGTATGCAAGAGTGAGACAGGTATATAAAGAACAAAAACACGAATGCTCCACTACTGCAGACATAACTCATTTTTTTTTTGGAGGAAGTTAGCCGCATTGCCTCAAAGCGAGTTGACGGGCTCCACAAGTCGTTAATTTCTTAGCCATGCAGTTTTTTTCACTGTATTCCTTCGTCGCCGACCATATGGTGAATCAGCACTTAACTTGCAATGAACAGTTTTATTTTTGTCGGCGAAATCGAACACTATCATAGAATAATATCGCTATGAAATTTACGGAGAACGCATGACCCCTGGAGCTAATCTGGTATATTCAAAAGACGCAGATCGGTCGAAAGTGCGAGACGTATTGATTGCACTGCTAACTTTTGTAAAGATTGCTCTAGATTTATAGCTAAGTTTATTTGCGTGCTAAAACATCTGAATATGTATTGGTATATGAATGAGATAAGATGAAGATAAACATCATCGAAGTTTAGAGAACTCGTAACGGCGGAAAGCCTTAGATGACGTCTTTCTTTCATTAATTTACTGCAGCTTCTCAAAAGTCCACAGCTAAACATTAGCTTCCCTAACGGACTGCCGTATGCAGAGTACATTTGCCATAGTTGCCACGCTTGGCATAAGAGTTAGAAACCACGCTTGTTTTATTATTAATTGTAATCAGGAAGATGGTGTTGCTTATATCCTGTATCCTGGTTTCATTTGCCTCGGTCGCCTATTACGACATCCACGAGGTAATATGGGTTAGTGGATGTTCATATATGCCGCCAATACACCGCCACGGTGTTTTAAGGCACACCAATTATAAAACGTATCTAGGTTTCTAGTCTGTGTTCAGGCCTATAAGTCTTAGAGACTATATTAAAACTTCCCGTCATTTTTGCAAGGTGAAAGACAACAAGGTAATATATAGTGATTCTAATGATATATATCAATGACTGTGGGCCCTGAACTTAATTACAAACTGGGCCCAACATTTCTATAAAAGGCCGAAATTATTTATTTTTCTTTCTCGATTTGATTCTGCTCGTGCCTCCGAATCCTGACACAGTTAATTTGGTACGAGTGCGCACATACCCTATTCCGTTCCATGACCACACGATAAGACGCAACAACGGGAAACGCCAGAAAGGGCTTATGACTTTCAAAGATGGCGGTATGGCCATCTTGTTTACGTCAGGCCTAAACTACCCGACAGGTAACAGCATCGAAGGTGTTCACGCATGGTACTGTGATTGTGAAGCATATCCTCTCTACAACTGGAGAAGCCTATATCCAACAGCAGACTGTTACGAGCTGATGAAGGAGATCAATTTCTCTCTGTTAGATTAGTATTAGACGTTGGTATGGCCATCGATGAAAAAGGGAAGATCTTCCGCTGTGCAGTCGTTTAGAAATAGAAATAAAATGAAACTTTGCTGGCATGATTCAGGCACTGCGATATTTGTTCGGTGGAAAATCGAAGATAGATGATCGAAGTGTCTATAAGACAAAACCCACCTACCATCAGTTGGACTGTGTGCTTGTTTGTCACGACTTTACTTGTATTAAAAATGGTCACCCACGATCGATGGTGTTTTATGACAGATAGACAAATATCTACGTGGTAGAGTCACGCTGCAACTATATGGTTGTAACACGAATGGGTCAGCTCGACCGGGATAGGATGACGCTTACACAGAATACCAGCCTAAAATAGCAGCTTAAGGCTGCTGTGTTTTGTATGGTGAGTGTAGAGAACGGGAGACCCTTTTAACTGTTATCGATGTCGATTTAACTGGAATCGAAGCATTCCATCTTAATCCTTAGAGAGATGACAACGCATCTGCATTTTGATACTTAATTGAGGATATTGTAGATGTCTATGGGCCACAGCACCACTTACCATCAGGTGGACTGTGTGCTCGTTGGTCACCCTTATTCTATAATAAAAAATATCGTTGAATAATATTCTATATCACCATATTTTTTTTTTAATCCAAACGTTCGTTAGCAATATTGTACGCACTATTGTATCCCTGTTCCAAGTGTATCATCATAGCGTAGGGCTCCCTTAAGGAATGTCACAAAACACGGTCCACAGCTACCTGCATCCATCGACTGCCTGGATCTCTTACCAAGTCGTCAATCCATCTCACTAGCCGTCCTACACGGGTACCGGTACGAGACTGAAGAGTGTACAGTAATAATTAAGATATAATGTCTACCACCTTAACTCTTAGTGATAATACACCTGTAACATTTTTAACAAAATCCGCCTACCATCAGGTGGAACACGAATACGTTTGTGATGCCAGTTTTATAATGGGGGTAAATATATTCCCCTAGTCAAAGCCAAAGTCATTCTAGTTCCCCTTAAGTCAAAGCCAAAGTGAAAATGCTTTTAAAGGACATAATATCTAGAGATACTGTTTACATATTCTGGTATTAAAACTGTAAGAGTGTAAGTTGCTGAATAAATGCTCTAAAAACAAGTGAATATAAACAAGTCCAGCAGTGGAATGCCGCAAGCTATTACGAAGTGTTGCTAATATAAAGATCTCAAACGAACCTTTACTTTCGCTCGTTCTTAAAACTAAGTCTCTAATCGTGAATTTAATTTAATAGATATACGGGTAAAACAAAATCGATTCTGCAATTCCGAATTATGTTTCCGAAATAATGATTATTTATATTCAATTGAAAGATCACGCCACATTAGAAACAAATATATCTTATTGTAGTTTCATACAAAAGTAAAGACTACTTAAAAAAAGCTTTTATATCTGATCGTGGATTCAAATGCCAGCTTAAGTTAAACAAAAGTCTTAGATTTCAAACATATTCGAATATATCAGCTGTGTGCAGGGGGGGGGGGGGGGGGTATCACTTCAAAATTTTTTAGAATTATACTATGGTCTAACCCTGCCTTATGGTAAGTTAGAGTTTGCACAGGAATCAAACTCTTAATTCACCTTCCCCTGACCATGAACGTAAGTACACCAAGACACAGGGCTTTCCATCATTTCACTGTAGATATTACAGCATTCAGATGAAGTGACTTGATTCGCCGTTCAACATGTGTATAGCTTATTATAAGTGGCACTCGCTGCTTGTGCCACGAATGGATTGTCCACTGTTGAACAGAGGCCTTCCCCAAGGAATGCCACAAAGCACGGTCCTGAGCCACCTGCATGTCTTACCAGGTCGTCACTTCATCTAGTGAGGGGACGCCGTACACTGCGTCCGCCGGTACGAAGTGTAGGTCGAGGTTAAAGTTACGTAGAGAGCGGTCGAACTACACTCGCAAAAAAGTTGCAGCATAATACATTAAACACGAGCAGTATAAATAGCTGTGTTTCGTACGGTAAGAGATGAGGAGAGCCGGCGACCCTTTTAATGAGGCATCCCATCCTAGTCGTAGATTTAACAACGCATCAGCCTTTTGGTTGTTAATTGAGGATAGATATGGATCTATGGTCATACACTTATCAGGTGGACCGTGTGCTCGTTCGTCACACTTAATTATATACAAGAAAAGGTTAGAATATTCGCCAGCGTCAGTCTTTCAATCTATTACTTCAATATTTCATCTAGTCATACATAAAATATATAACTATTGAACAACAGGGTAGCAGACACTCATCAAAATAGAACATTTCGTGAGCTATCAAAATGTGCGTAATAGTTTTTTTTTTACAAACAAGTGAACAATTTTATTTGTATATTTTTTGATGTATTAAAAATCTAATTCCAAATCGTCTGTCTGACTGTATACAGTCTCTTCCGTCGTAGGGAAGATGTGCCTTAGTCGTCACAGTTGTAACAGACGTGAGCACCTTTGACTTTACGTTTTACTTTACGTCGGGGGTAAACCAGATTGTTATACCGCCATCTATCCGAAGTCATAAGATCTCTATCACTTCTCATAGTCAGCTCCTACGACATTCACTTGGTGAAATTTATTGATGAATACCACCCGCCACCTCACAGTATCTGCTACCCAATTAAAAACTATCGTGTTAAAATATAAAACTCTTAAATATACTTATTCCTACCAAATCAATTGGATATTTGAGACTGGTCAGTTAAAAATACTTCTTGAGATTTGTCAAAACAAACATGTCTATAGAAATTGTATAAGAATATACTGTAATGACGTGTGTGAGATTTTACAGCCTAAATGTACGAGAAATTTAAGATATTTTTTTAGACTAAATGTAAAATCGACCAAGTTAGATGAACAAATACTCAAACGCTGCTCAATTTTAATATGCCATTAAGTCTCGCGTTGGCGTGGCATTCCTTGGGAGAGGCCTATGTTCAGCAGTGGACTTGTGAAGGGCTGTAATGATGATGGTGATATTGGTGTTGGCGACGTTGATGGTGATGAAGGTGATAATGGTGGTGGTGGTGGTGATAATGATGATGATTAAGTCTCGTTATGTCTGTATCGCTTTAAGTCAAAGTGACCGTGACACCATGAGACTTAATCTCAACATTGAGTAGCGTATAAGTATTTGGCCTAACTAACTAAAACTAAAATTACCAAATTCAAATTATATATTATAGTTATATATATATGTTTATC